TTTAGCGGCATCATTATATCGTCCTGTTCTTGAGGTTCTGATTATCCCATATTTCTATAATGAAAATCAATTTTACTAGCTACTGAGTAGCTCAGCGAGTCAACCTTATCACCAAGTAGTGAAAATCGTCGAATTCTCGGAAAAATGGAACAATGTGACTCTGAGTATTAATAGGCAAGGCCCTACCACGAGTAGCGGGTACTTGGTGAGTAATCACCAATTAAATAACAGATATGGACCATGATAGATTTCTGTTATTTAACAATTAAGTGCTGATGATGAAAGGGTACATAAGCTCTACATGTCCCTAACCCCTTTCAAATACAAATTCAAGGAAAATCTAAATATTGAACTGCATTATGCATGCCTAGGCACCTTGGAACCGAATGAGGTAATTAATTCACATCATTACATATATTCATGTCTTCATTTCCATGTAAATCCATAATGAGGATTTTGGGATGGGAACTTTTTGTATACTAGGTTTGCTTTCCTTCAGTTCTTCTGATACTATTTCTAATTGATTGCTGCTACTCAGGAGGTTCACCTGTCTCCAGTTCCATTTTTTTTACACTACGTTTTTCTTCTCCAGTCCACCATTCTTTGATGCTTTTAGTGTGTCATTATTGGTTTTCAGTAGTCGACCTAATCAGCCAATGGTGGAATATGAGGGCCTCAAGCGTGTTAAAGAAGGTTATGGCACTGCATCCGTTTTGCCTAAACAAGGACTATATTTAGCAGCAACATTATACTATCCTCTTTAGCTCTTTGAAGTTATTTGTAAAAATCTTTTCTATTTTTTATAACAAGTCATTAGTTGGTTGGAGAGGTAAACATGGCAAAGGGCTTTTAGATTTTGTGGTTGTGATTTGAGGGCATTCAAATTTCATTTCCTTATGAGATATAGTTTTCCTAAATGTTAGATATTTCTTTCACAAATGTAATATCAGTACGTGTTTTGGAGGTGTTTTTCATTATACTAATTTGTGAATGGCTACAGTATTTTATCAATGTTTGGACACTTCATCTGCCAAGACCAATACCATAGCAATGTTGAGGCTATAATAAGATGAATAAATTGAAAAACAAGATAACTTAGAGTAGGGGTGGGCCCGGTCCACAGTCTCGGAATAGTCAGGTCAGAAACGACCGTTTTCCGGGACGAGACCCGACCTGTTATTTCTGGTTTGGATCTAAGACTAGTGCTGGACCAGTCCCCAGTGGCATTGCTACTGTTTAGTACTTTTCGAGACAGGTTAGACTTTCTTATCTTTGCATTTAATGGTTATACCCATTTTTGAAGAGGTATAAAATCCATTTAAAAGCTAAAAATGGTAGGGAGGGCGAGGGTTAAGATGGTTTAAAACATAAGAGAGAAGTAGGAATAAGAAAAAAATTCTACTTCTGTAATCCTACCTATATGCAAGTGCCAAGTTTGTAAGAATTTAAATTGGCTGAATAATTGTCTAAATTGGCTTGACAGGGTTGAATTTGCAAGAAAGACTTCAATAATTTGTGATGTGTAGTGTTACTAAATTTTAATATTTGTTTTTATTTATTTAAGATGTTTCTCATTCATGCGATAAAAAATAATGTCCTATAACACTATAACTATATTTATATAATACTTTGTAACATTTATACTGTAAATATATTACACCCTGTGCAACGCAGGGTGGAATACTAGTTTTACATAAGAACATTTCTTTACTCTTTCTTCTTACCAAAATAAAGCTTCACAAAAATCACACTCATAAGATGAGTCCCCAATTCAAGACCTGCATAGGCTCAAAGGATTGAAAGATAAATTAGTACGTGTAAGTCTCAAAGATAGTCATGTGGTTGCTCAACGATGCAATTGTTAACTTTTTTGAGCTATACTGTATTCAACAGATAGTATTAATATTTAGTTGGGAAATAGATATACAAACATTCAGAATTGAATAATACCTTCACTTGAACAACTTGCATATTCGGCATCTTCTGTATATCAAGAACATGAAAAAAAATTGTATTAGCATTTTATGTGTACATGTGTAAATGCTATTTATTGAGAGTATTAAGTTTATATTGGTTTATTATGTATGTAATGAACAATTAACTAATATTGTATTACGAACCATGAAATGCAGGTTGCTCATGTGAGGAGGTACTGGTAACATCGTTTTGGTTAACATCTATACAATTTGAAATTCACAAAATCATCATACTCCTAACATATTTCAAGATTTTTTATATTTATTTAAATCATAAAAAAACAGGTTTAGCAAAAATAATATAACCTTCACTATTAGCATCAACATCAAAATCATCCGTGCGATTCTTGTTAATTTTTGGGGGTTCACCATGTAATTGAGACATGCATATCCCAAATATTGTATAGTCAACATTCGACACTATGATATTACTTAGTTGTCATTCATTGTGACATATTCGAATTATATGTCTAATACTTTCACATATAATGCTCTCTTTGGATTGGATTATTGAAAAAAGCAATATGATTCAATACATGATTTTTATAGTAAAAGAGCACATAGGAGTGAGGTCTTCTACATAATTACCGCTGGTGGTTTGAGTCTCCAGATTTACTCCACCGTTGTTTCTCCTTGAACAAAGTGGTCATTACAATTCAACAACAGACTTACAGATTGCAGTGACTCTCGTGATCGCTTACCCAATATAATAGTTGACTTCGCGGCTGATTTTTTACCCAATATTGTAGACGATCTTAGTTCATCATTTTTTTGAAGGAATCTCAGTTCATCATTTATTCACCATGATTCGTGAATAAATACATTTAAAATTAGCAACAAAAAAAGTTAAAATAGTATGGAGTACTAATTATCACTATCTCATAGCCAAACACCTTGTGATTGGATGTCATCAGTGTGACACTTCCAAGGAGGAGGTCACGGGTTCGAAGCTCGTTATGCTGGCATTTAACAGAACAAATACTATGAGAAAAGAGAAAAGTACAACCAAAAACAAAAAAAAAAAAAAAATAGGGAAAATATACAAATATATCCATATACTATGAGTGTGAGAACAAATATATCCATGTTATATTTTTTGGAACAAATATACCCCTGAAGATTATGTGAAGGTGCATATATACCCCTAAATATTTAAAACGTGCAAGAATACTCTTCATATTCCTATAGAAGAGAAAATTTACCCTTATTGACTTTAAATAAATAAAATAAATTTTGAAATATGCTAAAAATAAATTGCAAGTTCGAAATTGAAAACTAAAAAAATTAAAGAGTTAAAAATAAAGATTTATTTCTATGTTAAATATTAACTCTTTAATTTTAAATTGCAAAATTATTATTTTGCTGTTGTAAATGAAGAACTTCAAATTGATAAATATTAATTTTAGAGTTGTTGCAAAATCTTGAGCACATTGTTGCATTTTTTGAAATAACATTCTTTGATTTTGTTTAACCTTAATAAGATTAAATTCACTATTTTGTAATATTGGACTTTTTTTTTATCATAATACCAAATATTTAATTTTGTAGTGCAAAGAATACAAAAAAATAATGATAATTTTACATTGTAACACATATGTTAACACTTTTTCCAAGTATTTTAAATATATAGTAATGTTTTGAAATAATATTTTTTTCAAAGGATTTGAAATAATATTTTATACAAACAATATCAAATTGTGATACAAAAATAATAAAAGGGAAAATTGGACACGAGTAGATTTTTCATCAATTTGAAATTTATAATTAATTTTTGGTGTTTTTTGAAAATTATTTTATCTATTTAAAGTCAATAAAGGTAAATTTGCTCCTTTATAGGATCATGATAGATATTTTTGCACCTTTTAAAAGTTCAGAGGTATATATGTACTTCTACATAAATTTCCGGCATGTATTTGTTCCAAAATATAGAACAAGATATATTTGTTCACACATCCATATTAGAAGAGTATTTTTATACCTTTTCCCAAGAAAATTATCACCTCTCATTGATTGGCTTTCACCCTTTCACCCATTAAATTTTAATCTGCGTGGCACAAATACTTAACTAGACTATCGTATCGGCGTATCAGAAACGTACTCGTATCCAATACTATGGGATATCCGTACCGTACGTTCCCGAGCCTAACAAGTAGTTTTTAAAAGTTTCCAATTTTTTTGGTAAATATTTTTAAAATTCGGATACTAGTAATCTGACGGATACGCGTATCAACTTTTTTTTTTAAACGTACCCAAAATTTACTTAATAAAATTCTTAAAAAATGAAAAACTAAAAATAAATTTTATGCGGTACACATCTAATGATCCTATCCCTAATTCAGTCATTTGTAATTTACTCATCTGGTCTACCCTAATTCACTTACATAAGGTAGTGAGCAAAGCAACACGCAGAACGAGCAAGCAAAACAGCGAGCAAGCATCACACCGAGCAAGTCATATGCAAACCAATAACCCACTTAAGTATTTTCTACTCCACATCTTTTGTTTTATGTCTTCAATACCCAAGAACTTTGAGTACTTGCACATTTAATTTCAAAATTGTAGTTGTTTCACATGTTTCTTATTTTAAATTAATGATTTATTGACTATATTTATATTTCGAGATATACTAGCTAGTTAGTGTATATGAGATAAACAATGAATTTATTTCTAAGTATTTTGATAACGTAAAATACTTCAATGTCATGAATGGGTAGAGGTCAGAGGAAAATTTATGCATATATTTTCAAAAAAAAATATTTTTAATATTTATAAATGCACCCCTATAAATTTTAAAATACACCCCATAACTTTTAATATTTATAAATATACTCTCGTATCCATATCCTACTTTTTTTGGTTTTGTCGTATCTTGGTATCTGTTTCCGCATTTTCGCCTTACCGCGTTATCACGTTCCCGCGTACCGGTATAGGTGCTACATAGATTTTAATTGATTAGTGATCGATTATGATTTACCCATTTTTTATCTCAGTTGGACTTGATGTACACACTTTTTTGTGTACAAATTTTTTTGTATACACACTTTTACACATATCTTTTTTCTCTCATAAAAAAGTTGAGATTTTTTTGTTTTACCAAAATAGGTTTTATCTGTTCACACAAAAAAAATTACACCTACATGCTTTTTTTTTTTTGTTTTTTTTTACAAAAGGTTTAGGAATCAAGAATGGCTCCGCTAATATCAAACCAAAATAGAATCCCAGAATCGTAGAACTGCAGAAATCTCCCAATCGTCTAGCGCCTCCTGATTGCAGCGTCGTCTCGCAGCTAAACTTGTGGGTGAATTTCAATTCCTTCATTGTTGTATCCTGATATTCAACGTCCGTCAAGATGGTGTTGGCTCAGTTAGGGGGGAGCATTTCTCGGGCCCTCCAGCAGATGAGCAATGCGACGATCATTGACGAGAAGGTTCTCAACGAGTGCCTCAATGAGATCACTCGTGCTCTTCTCCAATCCGATGTTCAATTTAAGCTTGTCCGGGATATGCAAACTAACATCAAGCGGATCGTCAATCTTGACGACCTCGCTGCTGGTCACAACAAACGTAAGATAATCCAACAGGTTCGTCAGTTCTTCAAACACCTTCAAGCATAGTTGATTTTCATTTTTTTATGCTATTAGTTTAATAACTTTTACCTTAATGCGAGGAATTGTCTAAATGTGAGGAATTTAGGACCGAGAGTGAATTTTTCCCAGGGCTTTGGTGATTTTTTGGAGTTCATTCTTTTTCTAATTGAAAAATGGATAAAGAAACAATGGTTTCTTACAAAAAAAATGCCAGCTGAGATATTCTTGGTCGATAAGTGCCTTTTTTTGGTTTTGTGATTCTTCTATTGTCTCATTGTGATATGTGAATGTGTCGTACTGGTCCATCTTAATGTAATTCAGCTATGCTAACTCCAGTTTTTACATCTCAATGAAAGAACAACCTTGTTAGGCAACAAGATACGCATTAATACACTATACAATAAGGAAGACTGGACAATGTAAAAAAACAGGCAATAAAAAATGTGGAGACCATTTCATGGATGGTAGAGTGAAAATAGCATACACGGACAATGTAGTAAAGATAGGTGATAAAGACATGTGCAGATCATTTCAAGAACAGTATATTGGAAAATATCATGTTCATAGCGAGTTATGGGCTGCAAACTAAGGCTTGTATTGGAAAAGTCATTTACATCTCAACTCCAACCCTCCTCCTCCTCATCATCATCATTACCCCAGTGCTGCAAAGGCTCCCACCTACGGTGGGATAAGGGGGGGTGTACGCAGTCTTCTTACCCATGTACTAAAGCACAATGAGGTTGTTCCCGGATGACCCATAGTGAAAATCGCGTCGAAAATTGCATAGACTGACTGGTGTTTTATAACAAAGAAGCGCATACAATTTAGTGAGTCATTTTGCTTTATTCCATCATATTCCCATTTCCCAAGCCAAAAAATAGCGAGTCTTAAACTCCAATCCCGAATTGTTAAATTTTAAATGACCTTGAATTTGTGTCTTTGTGATAAATCCAGAAATGCCTGTATGCAAGTATTTTAAGTGCATTACTCTTGGAGTCTTGGGAGTGTGTCTGGCTAACAGAACGGAATTTGATAAATGCATGTTTTGGACTTATTTTTAGTTTCAAGTGAAACAAACATGTCCAGATGACAAATTATAGGATAACTGAGTGCTTCTATGCTTCTATCATATGTTGCAAATTAAGTGTTGTGTCACTTGTGTGTCCTCATAGCTGGTTAACAGTTTCCTGGTGATGCATGTACATGTATGTTCTTGTTTGGATGCTCTGCAACTGATACTGTTTCCTAATTTCTCTAGGCTGTTTTTAATGAGCTTTGCAAGATTTTGGATCCTGGAAAACCCTCATTCACGCCAAAGAAAGGAAAGACCAGTGTTGTAATGTTTGTAGGTTTGCAAGGTAAGTAATCTCCGTTTTTTCACTTTTGTAAGGAACTAAGGATATTTCTGTTGAGTTTTGTTGTATGCGGAGTTTTTTTACACTGGTACTTATGTTGGTCATCGCTGTGTGCTAAGCTTTCAGATGCATATTCTCATTATTATCCCCTTTCCCATCACGCTCTTATTATTCTGTATTTTATTCTGTCTCAGGTTCTGGGAAAACAACAACTTGTACAAAATATGCCTACTACCACCAGAGGAAGGGCTGGAAACCGGCTCTAGTTTGTGCAGATACATTCAGAGCTGGTGCTTTTGATCAACTAAAGCAAAATGCAACCAAAGCTAAAATACCTTTCTATGGGAGGTAAATCTTTCTCACAAACAATCCATTCATTATCTGTCTCACAAAGTTATGACTTCTTTATTCTTAAAATTTTATATGCTCAACAGAGCTGTTGTATTGATCGTTTTTTTCAGTAATTATCCTGAGGCATATACATTATACACTTTAATTAAAATGTTTATTATTGGAGTATTATGAAGTTCTGTCAAAATAAGGCTACCCCATACCATACGTAAAACTAGTTGTATACAAGAGGTGGGAGTGTGACTGTGTGAGACCATCTGTTTGCTTATTTGTCTGAAAATAAAATTAATATTTTCTCATACAATTGCATGTTTTGTCTCAACATTCCTTTACATGGTTTTGTCAAATTAGTGAATTTAAGTTGATTGAGACACCTATTGTTCTGGTAAGCTAGCATGTACACTAGCTGTTTTTCTCATACAATTGCATGTTTTGTCTCAACATTCCTTTATATGGTACACTAGCTGGTTTCACCCGCAAAACATGTCTATGATGCGAACATACTAAAGAAAGGAATGTACCACCTAATTCACAAAATTGCATAGGTTCCTTCTACATTGTGTAAACCTGCACTTTAAATATGTGAAAGTTTGTAAAATTGTTATCTTTTAGTGAAAATTTAATTTTTCTGTTTATAATTGTATTCCATATGGTTCATGATATTTTTCCTTAGCATCCACTCTGACATTATCTGTTCATATAATTATTCTAAATAAATCTCATGATTTAGTTTAAGTCTAATGTGGGCTTATTATTCTGACATATGGCCTATCTAAAGTAAATGTATGTTTCCGCGACAGCTACACAGAGTCTGACCCCGTAAAAATAGCAGAGGAAGGTGTTGAAACATTCAAGAAGGAAAATTGTGATCTCATAATTGTTGACACCAGTGGGCGCCACAAACAAGAAGCTGCTCTCTTTGAAGAGATGCGTCAAGTCTCTGAAGCAACGGTATGTACTAAGTACTAAAAACTCTTCTTTTACGATGCAACTAACCACTACATTTAGAATAGTCTCATCTTTTTGTTGGTTTTTCAGAAACCAGATCTTGTGATATTTGTTATGGATAGCAGTATTGGTCAAGCCGCTTTTGATCAAGCTCAAGCGTTCAAGCAAAGTGTTGCAGTTGGGGCTGTAATAATTACTAAAATGGATGGGCATGCAAAGGGAGGTGGCGCCCTTAGCGCGTAAGATTCATATACTTTAAAGTGTAATTTATACTGTTATAGTATCACTTATTTTGTATTGACATTCTTTACTCTAACCCTCTCAAAAAAGGAGCCATATCTCATGTTTTTTCCTGCAAAATTAATTTGTTTTAAGGCAATTGCAAATCGTTTAGTCAGTTACTCTAGAAAATCTTGAGAATAAGTTTTACGGGAAAGAGTGCCCATTAGTAAGTTGTAATTACTATTGAGCTGACTAGACATAAAATGTTAAACCCTTGCTCAAACATGACACATTTTCTGGGACTGAAGCAGTATTTAACAATAATTGTTGTCATGTATTCATGAAAATAGATTTGTTTCTATGCAGAGTTGCTGCAACAAAGAGCCCTGTAATCTTTATCGGTACTGGAGAGCACATGGATGAGTTTGAAGTTTTTGATGTTAAGCCATTTGTCAGCCGACTTCTGGGTATGTATCTCATCCATAACAAGAGCTCTGTTTTTTTTCTTTCTTTGATCTCAATACGCTTGTTTCTGATACTTTTTACGACTGTTTCCATTTTTTCTCTTAGGCATGGGTGATTGGTCTGGGTTCATGGACAAGATACAGGAGGTTGTTCCTATGGATCAACAACCTGAACTTCTTCAGAAACTCTCTGAGGGAAACTTTACCCTGAGGATTATGTATGAACAATTCCAAAATATACTTAAAATGGGTCCTATAGGCCAGGTTTGCTCCTACTGCCTTGAACTTTTGCTGTTACGGAGTAAATATTATTTGGTGACAACTCCGGTACCCATTTAAAAAATAGGGTACCGTACCTATCATTCACTTGATTGGTCCACATCATGATATCATTTTTAATTTAGACTAAAATAATTCAACTGCAAAATTTTCATTGGTCCATGTGGACAAAGGTATGGTACCTTATGGGTACCATAGACTCTACCATATTATTTACATGCACATGTTAGCTCTTTACAGTAATAGATCAAGGCCTGGATATGTTTTCCTTCTGTACAATATATTTACATGTAAATGTATTTTTGTTTTGCATCAGTGCAATTTATGCTTCTTTTTTATTTTCATCAATGCACTTCACGCTGTTTTCTTTTTTATACATCCCACCATCCTTTGTTAAAAAGCATTGATATGGCTCATAGAGCTTTAGCCTAAACCCAGATTGACCTTTCTATGTTAAAAGTTAAAACTATAACTCTTTGGAGACTATCGTCTATTAGGGGGGGTAGTGCTAAGTGGAACTCACTATTCCTACTGTCAGTTTACACTTTACATGTCTCTGGTTGGCTTTGTAGGGAAGTAAAGTATTTCGTAAAGACAAAATGATGTGGAAAAACAAGATTCGAGTTCTATGATCCATGTCTGTGTTTTTTCAAACTAAGGTTGACGTTGAGTAAGAAAGGGATTAGAAAGAAGAAAGCGTTAATTGGAGGAGTGTAAAACAAAAAAGATTATTATATGGGGGACCTAAAACAAAAGGAACTGTATTCTAGGGGTGTAAAACAAATTTCTTCCTATATGCTATAAACAGATAATCAGCTTGAGCTGTGATCCATACTGTATTCTTATTATGGTGCAGGTGTTCTCTATGCTGCCAGGATTTACTCAAGAATTAATGCCAAAAGGGCGGGAAAATGAAAGCCAGTCAAAAATCAAACGTTATATGACAATGATGGATTCAATGACCAACGAAGGCAAGTGTAGTTGCATTAATTTTGTTTTCCTCATAAAAGTTAGCCTGATCTCTCATCTTGCCATAATGAATAACAAGTAAATATATAATGGCAGAATTGGACAGTATGAACCCGAAGATAATGACAGAATCACGCATAATGCGGATAGCAAGGGGGTCGGGTCGTATGGTGTACGAAGTGTTGGAAATGATGGAAGAGTACAAGAGACTGGCGAAGATATGGAGCAAGATGAAGGGACTTAAAATTCCAAAGAAGGGAGATATGAGTGCCCTTTCACGAAATATGAATGCTCAGCACATGAGCAAAGTTCTCCCCCCACAGATGTTGAAACAGATGGGTGGAATGGGCGGCTTGCAGAATTTGATGAAACAAATGGGTTCTGCCAAGGATATGATGGGCATGTTTGGCGGTGGCGGGGATAAGTAAAAAAGCTAAGCTTATGATCGATAATGATGATATATATACATTTAGTTTAGTCTCTAGTCTCTACATTTACTTATTGACTCCTGAGCTTGGTGAACTAGAAGCCTGCTTGTCAAGTGTGAAATTCGGCTTGATTGTTCTTGAATTTGGGTCAGAGGTTAAACTAATACTACGTATATGCTTTGAGTACTAGAATTATTCTTAAAGAAGTATTTTTATGTTCTTTACTAAATTAAAAGAAAGCTGCTTTTTTAGTTTGTTCTATGCATTTACTTTTTATCTTCGAATTTTAACCTCATTTTTTAACATTTCGAGTTTTTATCCCCCCTACGTCACGTCGTCACCCTATGAGTGTATGCAACTTTGGAATAATGAGTTACATTCCTGACTTTAGACCTCATGATTAAGCTATTTTTTAAGTTTGCATCTCACTTTTAGCCGTTTAGGTTTTAGGGAATTAGGGGGTGTGAATTCAAAGAGCTGTTAAGTGTATCTTACAGAAAACCATGAGAAAACACATGGTGCAAATTCAAATTTTCCTAGATAAAAATTGTATACTCTTTAAAAGAGATTATTGAAATTGTCATCCAATTTATTTATCAATGTTGTAGTTGCATACTTTTAATTTGGTTAGATTTGATTCTATTTCCATTTCCTTACCAACACTAGTTTTAATTGTCTCTCAATCTCTGTGAAACACAAACTAAGCATTTTCTAGATCATCATAGGCATATCCATCACCTGAATCACAAATAGGGAGTCCTAATCAACAAAAAGATGAAGGCGTCATTCTTGTCTAGTTTTAGCCCCTGTCAAATAGACTCCGTTTGGTAAATAGCATTTTGCCAAATCCGCTAATTCATTTGAACTACAAACTGCTGCATTTTGCAGCGGGTAGACATCAACCTGCTAGAAAACAAACGCAGCCAAAGTTGAATTCAACATTAATTAAGACACATTAAAACTTCAGAGTGAACAGTCAATTTAGCATTGAAGGTTCTGACGAAATTAAGTCCTTTAAACTTTGTCAAGCTTACCGTCAACTTACCGTAAGCTTACCTTTCTCCTAAATTGACTGTTCAATACTTGATCAATCAAAAAATTAAGTCCTTTTGTAGCCCATGTTGTTACTCAAATGGTCATAAACAGTCAATTTAGTATTGAAGGTTCTGACGGAACTCAATTTGGCCCTTGATTATGAAATCTGACCCAAATTGGTCTACATACATTTTTTTGTTCTAAATTCACTAAAATTTTCAGACACAATTTCATTATCTAGTTGGCTTTCAGATATATCATGTGGACCAAAAAAGCACTTCTCAATTAGATGATAGATTTGTAAGAGCACCTAATTGAGTTTAAATCAAAGAGTCAACAACCAAATTATGAAATTAAGTCCAAAAAGAAAGTTGATGACCTAATAGGCAATGCTAAAAACATATATATTCAAGATACCAAATCAAGTATTAACTCTTAAACAGGTGCTATTCTCATTTCAATTGACCAAAATGCAGTTGGTTCACCATACACAGTAGTCCCATATAATGGAGAGATGAGAAAATACAGAATATTAATCTACTGGTACATCCCTTCTAGAAAACCATACGGCACTCTAAGTAGAATATGAACCACTTCAGCCTTCACACAAATCCAGAGGAAATCACTAATTTGCAGGAAGACTTAAAAACACCTCTGATAGATTTAGCTGGAACCAGGGTCAAGCACGGGGATTCGGCAATGGAGACTAATAGACTTATCCGTTTGTCGAGACCCCGGGATAAAGAACTGAAATATCAAGGTCAAGCAAGCACCTTGATGAGAAATCCCATAGAAAGCACAATCAGGTTTAGCCAAATGACACTGAAGAGACTTAAAGAAATGCTTCACGCTAACATGCACTGTCATCGCGTCCCCCTTCTGAACCGCCATTCTCGCGCGAGATTGAGCCGTCAGATCCTGGTCCCACGATGGGACCGTCGCCTGTTCACCGATAACCAACAGCTTCCTAAACTCAGCACCTAGGGTTATCAAAGGTGTAGAAATTTGCAAATGAAGATCACCATATTTGCTAATGTACACATTAATCACATCCCCGACGTGCTTCATCCTATCCACAAAGTTCTGCAATTGGTTCATATCCGGAACTTCGACCAGAGTAGGCGGCAGATCTTGAGCTCCATCTAGGGCTGCTTGAAGTTCACCCACATCACCTCGCGACAAAGGTTTGGAGATCGGAACGTCTTGAATAACAGCTGACTTATAGCCTTTGGTTTCAAAAGTTAGGAAGGGCATCGGCTGTAGAGAATGTGGAGGAAGCTTCTTGACCAGCTTGATTTGAATGCGGTTAGGGACATTAACGGCATTTCCAGAGAACTTTGTGTAGATACTGATGATACTGCGAAGAGCACGCTGGAGGAGGGAGAGGTCGATGGTGAAGGCAATCCGGTCATCATTCAGGCTGGAGATCATATAATCTTCGAAGAGGGCGTCTTTGCGAAACTGGGCAATGGAATGGATGCCGTCACTGTTAAGGAGGTTATGCAGGAAGAAAGCATGGTCTCTGGTTAGATAGAGATGGCAGATTTTCCCCATCTTTTCAAGTGCAGGTAGGAACCTCTTCTCAAGCAGGTTCACGCCATTGTCTGTGAGATACGCCTTGAACTTCATTGGGTTCGATTCACAGTTTCACGTTGTAAAATGAAAAATTGACAGACAGACTGGGAAAATTAATGCACAAACGAATTCACATAATCAGGGGAAAATATATATCCGGCTACACATTCTATCAAACAGTTTCCGTGCATTGTCTAATGAAAGCAAACAGGTTGTGCAAGTTGGATTTGTGACGACTGAGAACAAATATAGGAGGCTTGTTGAAAGGCTAAACAAATTCAGTAGACATATATACCATAAATTAATATGAATATAAGGAGTACCGGTTGGAACAATGCCAAGATTTGGACTTCCAGATTGTAAAGACTCCAGATATGGCCGGATTTTAGAGTCAGTTAAATTATCTCTGTCTATCTATATACTACGTAAAAGTAAGATAAATGCAGTATCCCCGCAGCCCCCGCAGCCCCAGCAGGAGATACATGAAAAAATGCACTCTTATACACACTCTTGTACACACCATGTCTGTGAAGTTTTTTTTTGTCTGTGAATCGGGTTCACAGACAATATTTTGTTTGTGCAAAACATTGTCTGTGAATCGATGTTCACAGACAAAAAAAAAAGCTTTCACAGACATAGGTGTGTACAAAAGTGTGTATAAGAGTGTGTACAAACATCATTTTTGAAAAATGCATCCTCTCCAAGTACGAAGGGAGTGGCCAGTGGGTTAGGTCCTGTTCGAATCCGGACAATTTACTTCCAACCCATTCGGTGGGTGTTGGGGCCGGGTGTCACACTTTTTTTATAAATAGATTGACAACAATATCAATCGATACGGTTTCAATTAAAAAAAAGTACCAGACAAGTTTCTCTAATATAATGTAGGGTGTAATAAATTAATTGTCTCATTTTACTGTTTAAAATAAAACACACTCAAAAAGTAATTACAATGACTCTGTTCGGATAATAACGTTTTAGCCAAATCGCTAATTCTTTTGAACTACAAATCGCTGCATTTTGCAGCGTGTAGACGTCAACCCGCTGGAAAACAAACAGGGCCGGCCAGTATCAATACAATATTGGTACGGTACAAAAACCCTCTTACTTTTACTTTGTATAAAATATACAGTAATTATCTTAAACGACGTGCAAAAGCAAATAGAACAACTAAAATGATACGGAAAGGGTAAATGCTTCTTAGTGAATGAAATTAGAAGAAAAATTATGCTTCCTCTGTCCTGCTAATATTGTCTCATTTTACTTTTTCGGGAAATTCCATTAAAATTGTTTCATATCAAATTTGGTAAAGTTTGTGTATATTTAATTCATTCTTACTTTATTAATTAATATTAACCACACAAAACTAGCTTTTTTAATAAAATATGTTATTTTATTAGTGGGAGAGAGTAAAAATTATTTTCTTGAACAGTCTCTCCTTGAATAGAGTGCGTGTAGACCGCAATTACACACCGATCAAAATTGCTTCTTGTATACACTTTGTGTACACATTAGTACACAGTATAAAAGGGTTTATTTTTTTACCCTTTTCCATTTGACTAGGCTCTACGAGAGCACCATTTGATGGATAATCGATACCGATATTGTATAATTTAGGAGAGATTGAACAAGAAATGGAGAAGAAGATGAATGTGTATGATGAGTGAATAGTTTGATTAGAGTTTACAAGTCTCCCATAAGAAGTACTCCCTCCGGTTCTCAAACAACTTCCCACTTTCCTTTTCGGGAAGTCCCAAAATTAACTTCACACTTCTTCTTATTTCCTTATTTGGCAAATTATCTACACCAAAACAGTGCAAAACAGTGCCAAACAGTGCACTTCACAGTAAAGTCAAATTTAATTTCTTAAACTGTGTGAAGTCAAAGTGTGAAGGTCTTTGAGAATCGGAGGGAGTATATATAGAGAAATAGCTGGTCGAGTCACTAATATGGATTTGATAGGCCCAAGAACATAATAAAAAATGACGCCAGAATGTTTTTTGAGACGTGTACACCATATTTCCACCCATATTTAGACCAAAAAATCTGTTTGTACCCACTTTTATACCCACTTTTGTACATACACCCTATTTTGCTTGTGCAGACATGCAATTCGTTAAGAAGGCAACATTTTGTCTGTGTACACAAACAAGATAAGGGGTGAGTACAAATGTGTGTACAGTCCATAACTCTCCTCCCTCTATTGCCATTGTCGTTGGATTGCGCAAGACACCTCTACCATGCGATAGAGGATCCAAATCCACATATTACCAAACGTATGATAAGTATTTGAAATCATTAATATTAGAAATCAAGCTGCAGTGTTGTAAATTACAATTTTCTGAATAAGACAATCTTCATGCTATTGAAGAGAGGTATAAGGTTGGGGTCTTGACTTGAGAATTTCAGTCGTACCTTCGGATCGACAAAGATCTGTCTAAACATCGTACTTTTTGTAGAGTAAACCACTTATCTTCTTTTAAAGAGGGAAAGAGAAAAGGAGCAAATAAGCACTCGAACTATTTGCGATTCTGCAATCAGACTCATGATCCAGAAGATTTGCATTTTGAAGATACAACCCTCAACTCCTTCAAAATTAAGCAATCAGATCTTTTTTACATGTTGGTGCCGGTAATTTCTCGTCTCAAAAAGGATCTTATTGCTTAATTTTCAATGAGTTGATGAGTGTTTTTGCAAGTCATTCGCTTCAGAGGCCTGATTGCAGAATGTTAAATAATTCGAGGGCCCAATTGCCTCTTTTCTCAAAGGGAAAAGAGAGTAAAAATCTCATTGAAATGGCAAGGGAGCATAGAAATTGAAGTATAATTTTGTGATTTCAATCTAACCCCGACAAAGGTTATGGTAGAAGAACAGATCAGCATGCTATGGGAGATGAGTTTCGATTACACATATATCCTTAGTCTTTAATAAATTGTCTGGGAGTTATTCCGTTTTACATGTATGTTAATTATTAAATAACTTTAGCATTTATTTTTCATTCTAACCAATTACATATATCCTTAGTCTTTAACAAATTTTACTAAAGTGTAGTGAGTTTAGAGAATATCTCACCGATTATCTGAGTGAGGTGATTGATGGGATGATCAACACTGATTTTGCATTATGATTCAAGGGGGCGGTATGTAAATGACATTTTGTTATTTGCAAATATCGAGTGAGGCTACAAAGGTACTATTGATTCCTTTTTGGAGTCATTAGTAAAGGGTCCTCAAACATTAGGGCGAAATGATGGTCTATATATTTTGTGAATGATTACAAATATCATTTCAATGGGATTTAAAAGTAAGTGGAATTTTGGCTACTTTCCCGCTCAAATTAAAAGTGGCTTGGCATAGAGCAGACATTCTTTTTAATGCATTGAATTGGAAGTAATGTGGCTGCATTAGGGAGACCATTTTTGTTCTGCCCGATATTCGTGGGAAGAGAAAGAGGTTGTTTGGCTTCCCAAGTAACATAGATATTTAAGCCCCTTTGGTGACCCCGCTTTTCGATTTATCAGACTTATCTGTCAACTTTTTGCACCAAACATGTGATTTTTATTTCACGCGCTGAATCTATCTTAATACTAGTATAGTACTCTTGTGATGCACGGGATATTGAGTATAAATTATCTCTTGCAACTTGGTGTTCTATAAATTTTAGATAAAGGATTTCACATAAAAAAAACAATTTTAAGTATGTGTTCCCTATTTTCAGTTTTAAATTGCAGTGGTTAGTGAGGAAGGTTACCAATGTCATTTGACATTTTAAAAACGGAGTTGCTACATAGATATGGAAAGAATACGGAAACAACTCATCACAAATATTCTACCACTAATTAATGTAACCCACTAATGTCCAATCAATTAAGATAACTCACTACTAATATTTACACCTCCATTTTTAGCAACTTAAAAAAAGGTTCGTGTAATTAATAAGAATTGGAGGAGAAGTTGAGTCTTAATATACATATTAAGGTGATATTTTGTCCAACAAAGAAGGTTGCATTATCAATTCAAATAATGAGTTCACTGCAAGAACACATGATAGCATTTATAAAACTAATCTCTTGATTTACGGATTCAGACGCTCCATAATTAACCTTCAAATTTTTTAAACTAATAGATGGTAAGATGGAAAGCTCTCGAATGAAGAAGTCAGCACTCCCACCGTGGTAGAAGTTTTTGCATATTATGGTTACAAGATGTGCGTATTAAGGTTACAAGCTAAGATGTGCATATTAAGGTGACAGGATGTGCATTTCGTATTTATAATGTCTTCATAACTTATATTAGAACTACACTATGATAAAATATATCGACGTTGCATTTTAGTGTTTCATATGTTGTATCTTAGCACTATAACATGTGCATTTTATGAGTTCATATAATGATATGTGCACTTTAGAAGTTCATACTGCATCTTTCCGTTATGGCATCTACATTTTAATACCTTATATGCTGCATGCATTTTATCATTGTGACACGTGCATTTTACAAGTTCATGTATTGCATTGAAGTAGTAAGATTCCATGTGTATCATAGAAGACAATTTGCTGCATCTTATCATTATGACATTTTAGTCTAATGATATGTGCACTTTAGAAGTTCATACTGCATCTTTCCGTTATGGCATCTACATTTTAATACCTTATATGCTGCATGCATTTTATCATTGTGACACGTGCATTTTACAAGTTCATGTATTGCATTGTAGTAGTAAGATTCCATGTGTATCATAGAAGACAATTTGCTGCATCTTATCGTTATGACATTTGCATTGTATACTCAATTGACATGCATACGAATTTCATGGTGTCACATTATGCATAATATTGGAGAAACATGTTTTAAACAGTATATTAGTAGAAGTGCATAATATAAGAGAAACATGTCACATTATATGAATTTTCATTTTATCATTATGACATATGCATTTTAGAAGTTCGTGTATTGAAATTTAGTAACATGATATGTGCACATTAATAGTCCATACTTCATCTGATCATTATGACATCTGCATTTTAGTAGTTCATATGTTGTATTTTATCATTATAACATGTGCATCTTAGAAGTTCGTATATTGCACTTTAGTAAGATTATAAGTGCAGTTTCATACGATGGCGTGTGCATTTTAGTTAGATAACATATGAATTTTAAAAGTTCATATCATGAACATCTCTGCTTGCCCAACCATTAGGGTCTTCATTTGAAAAATCATCATATTGTAGAGGAAAATTGTACAATGTGAACTTGGCGTTTTGGTATTCAGGATTGACGGCCTTATTTTTCTTGAATCTCTCTGCTTGCCCAACCATTAGGGTCTTCATTTGAAAAATCATCACATTGTAGAACTCTTTTGCCCAATGGTAAGACTTATATTTGTCAAACTCGTCTTTCCATTTCATATACTCTGAGCTAATGTTTATTTTCTTATTCTTGGGTAGTAAAACACAGACCAGATAAAACACCCACACAAGCTTCAAACCATCAGCATGATCCCCTCCTTTTTAGGCTTAAGTGACTCCATTTTTTCCTTGAAT